CAGTGTTTCCTATAAGTGTAAAGGACACTAATTTCACCAGTATGATTTTTGTGATTTTTCCATTCCATAACGAAGTTGTAATGTCATTGAGATGTAAATATTTTTTGCGAAACGATTAGACTTCAGCCGATCGCTGATGGACTTTACTTTCCTGATATGCTGCCCCCAATCGACCACATTAATTTTGTAAACGATTCCATTTGCAATCAGTTGCATATTTGTGATCAGGCACACATCATTGAATTGAAATGAACCAACTCGAGTTCCATCTAGTTTGGTATATTCCTTTCAGACAACCTTGCGCGTTTGACAGGTGGCCATGGCGAGAACTTCATATTTACTTTTGCACTTTACAGCAAACAGTGAGATCTTAATGACACCAGACTATCCAGAAGCATATCTGAGGGTGATGGGGATTGTATCCCCCCGTTCAGCCACAGACTAAATGAAACTACCAGTTAAATGACGAAAAGTAGGCCTTCAAAAAACAAAATCCTGGACCAGGATTGCGCTGTCTATCACATCCATTTCCGGTGGGTCCCCTTAGCAGGGAATCCCTTTAGTACGCCCATCACCCCCCCCCCGTTTCCTAAAAATTAGATTCGTCTCTGTACTATCACTCTATCGATGACATACACGCTAGCAACCTCGTTCCCGCGGAAACGATCTTGCCAGGGGAAGGGCTGGGGAAGGACTGATGGCTTTGTACTGTGATTGGCTACTTTGTGCACGACCGCCGACCACGAGGAATATCCCTTCATGTATAGCAAAGCGTTGTTGGACGGTTTTTGGGCAGCCAATGGCAATGCTTCGTCACAGGCTAAAATGTCGGCTTAAATGATAAAAACATGGCCTTGGAGCAATCACAGTAATTTTTCTTCTCACTAAGTATCAGTGATCACGTGTCTTTTGGCGCTATTTTTCAAATTGCTGGTTAACTTGATCAATTTTGGATGAACTAATGAAGTGTAATGGGAATATTTTCAGCGATGAGAAGAAAACAAAACAAAAAAAAAGTACCGAATTGATAACGGCCATATTGAGCAAGATCGCACGCCCGGTAGAAATTTATCCACAATGCTCTTAGCGTCTTTAGTTGTGACCCTGTGTAACGCATTTCCTGCATTAAAATCTGTGCAAGGCCTTCAGGGTGCACCGCAGCAAATAATTTCCCCACAAACAGCAGTGATAAATCCCCATACTTCACACAAATATTTAATTCAAAAATACTCACAGGTGTTCAGGCTGCACAGAAAAACGATGTTCGACATGTCCTCTTTCATTTCCCTTTAGTGGGCTGACCAATGAAATTTCCAGAAATTTTCACCGAACCGGACCACCCCTAAAATGAAGGAAATTTCACTGCCCGGAAAAGTAGTCATTTTGAAAATGCATCGCTCTGCAAAACGGTAAGTAGTGCCACTTTGGTCCCGATTGCATCCAAATTGGTCAGAATTGGAAGCCCTGAGTCAGGGCCAGAGGTTTCGTGCCATATTTTTTCAACCCCCCTCCCAATTCCACGGCTCTCAGGACCCTCTAATATAGAATATTTTTGGTGTATAACTTTTATCAATGAGCTTGGCCGAAATATTTCTTGCTTACTTAGGTGAGTGCACCCCTCAGCCCTTGCTTGAGCCCTGCTTGGGCGCTCGGCCACGGACGTATATAAAAAACCTGGACGTGGGTTGGCTCCATTCTATTGACATCAGGATTAACAAAGGCGGGCATTGCCAGGAAAGCTTTGTATTCGGCTCGGTAAAATGGCCGCGAGTGGATTCAATGACTCTATAGATGGATTTCACATTAGCCCCGTCAGCGCTATCCGCATAGAAACCAAGGCTCTCTGTGTTGAACATCGTCGCGCGCCCGGGGAGTCCACACAGTACATGCAGTATCCGGTTCGTAAGTGTGATACCACTTCAGTTTAAACCACGCCCACTGCACAAGATACACGGCCATCGCAGGTACGTTAGTTCACTGTAAATTGCCATTGCTTTTTTCCTTTGATTTCACGCGTCGAGTCATTCTGAAAGGCTCTTCAACAAAAATTTGCAGCATGAAAAGTCTGAATTTAACATACCTGTATGTATTTTGTGTCTTAACTCCTTACTTTCAATCGTCTGATCGTATTAAAAATTGAAGCTGACACATACAGCCTCGTTTTCAAACGCGGAAGTGCGCAGATCGACATTAAAAGCGTCGTTTTGGGATCCCTCTATAAGCTGATTAAGGGCATTTGGAGTCCAGATTTTATTACACACGTCCGTGCGCTCGGCGACGACGGAGTCCTGAGGCTGAAGTACACCCTCAACAGCGAAAGAAGAAAGATGACACTAAGTTTTCCACGGGATGCTTTCTCACGTTTGGCTTGCAAGTGAAGACCATACATTCCCACGTATAGTCATGCCCCTCACTTAGTTTGTGCGCACGCGTACCAAATCTCACCACAGCCAGAAGCCAGTAAAATGGCTATTGACTCTGACAGGTGGACCCAAAACTAATTGATCATGTATATAAACACTCAAAGTCCCCTTCGCTAACTTACACATGATAAAAATCCATTTTCTGCCAAATTTTTGCCCGTCTTACCTACGTACCCCAAAGTGACAGAATCAGAAACTGGAAGTGAAGCCAACATTTTAGAGGGGACTGTTTCAGTTTTGCTGAGCTTTCCCTGACATTTCTTTACTTGTAAATAGTAATGTGAACGTTCTAATGAGAAAGTATCATGCAAGAAGGAAACCGTATGGATGAGAACGGAGTTTTTGTTGGGGCCTTTTAGTCGGACAATTTGACGTCGTTGTACGTGTTATTGTGAAAATTGGGCACTTAAGTTGGGCGAAAAACACGGAAAATGACGAAAATAATGGTCCCAGTGGAAAGTGAAGTGAATTTCAAAACAAGGTTTTCTGCCTAAAAGTAATAAACCTTTTTTATCATAAGGGTTACCAGTCTTTCATGAGGCATCAAAGTAATTTGAAGGGAAACCCAGCAAAGTTGTGAAAATTTGACACGGAAAAATTGACAATTTCCACTCCTTTGATTAGTTTCTGGAGACCTTTCTGATTAGAAGCTATTAAATTGCACCCTAATAGATTCTTGGCAATTTATTCACATACGAGGTCTTAAAGGGAAATGGCAGGACGAATCCCTCACTGATATGCGTCGTCTGCTAGAACAGCAATTTTCGGGCAGATTACCATAGGTTACTATTGCGCATGCGTGAATACAGAGTATATGGGGACCGAACACACGTGTTCCAGACTAAAATTGTCGCACGTACTCAGCATGCTCCGCGTCAAACGCACATAAGCCTATGCGGTGAGTGAGTACCAAAGGACTGTCAATTCCAGTTTCAAACACACCCTCTGTTGTTCCTGCTCAGGGCGGACAGAAAAATCCAACGACCAAAATTAGGAGGTATATTACTACTGGGCCATCCTGTTCGCATGCAAGAGGTGCACGCACTGAAATTCGTCCTTGACCAATAGGCAGTAGTCAATTGCCGAAGTGTGCACGCACAGAGTTTCCATATCGACGTAAGAAACCATTGATCCCCATTATAAAGTCTGGATAGGACATCGCGCATTTTGTTTGTGTACGAAATGCGTGGCCGAACAATGCCGGTGCACCGTGCTTCAGGAGGGTAAATGCTGTATGCAGTGCATTTAGTGAAAATTGATTCTGAAGAAAAAAATGCAACGAACTCACCATTTTCTATTAAATAACCCACTTGAAATGGATAATATTAACCTTTTTTGTGTATGTGTGTGTTTGTTTTGTTTTTTAATTCATTTTTCACACCTGTTGACTACGGTCTTGCCTGGGCTATAATTCCACTTTGGGTCGGTTCAACCGTCATTTGTTGAGTGTGTAAACATTAAAGTTTCACCAAGACCCACAACAGGTTTTGCATTATGAAGTCCAGACCGTCCACGTGTTTTTCCGTCTGATTTCAATGAGCCAACACCGAAAAAATCCATCAATAAAACGAAAGTCTTAATTTTAATTTTACACACTCACAGGTAACAATGTACTAATAATCATGCATATGCTAAATAAATTTATTGAAAACCGACAAGTGTGAGGATCTTTTCCGTGAGCAGAAAATGAGCAGAACTTTGACTACGAGCCAAACTAATTACGTTAGGGTCACTTTCACTGTAGACACTTATAAATCAAATTTAAAAAAAACTTGAATTCACAACTTACATTTAACACAACACAAAACACGGCTTTCTTCGAGATTTTTCCGGTGAAATCTGGGGAAAACAAACGAAAAAATAATTATTCACTTTTGAAAACCACTTTTGCCGATCAATAACATTTCAGACAGTCCCAATCTCGATATAGTGAAGTCTCATAGAATCACATTCATAAATTTCTGACTACATTTGTATGTAGGCTTCAAGTCAAGCATTATAGCACAATGCATGCATAAACTCTCTGAAAGTGTGACGCTCATGTCAAAAGCTGCTCCTTCTTCCAGACTTGATTTACCATCGATGTCCGGCAATTTACTGCTGCGCACACCTCAACCATTATTCTTTCCAAATTTATCCATACCGGGGGCAGAATTCAGTTTTTCTTCGAAATCTGACGATTGAAGTACAATAACCTCAACCAGTAGTTTTTAAATCTCCGTTTGACAGTGCACGCAACAAAATTCGCAACGCTCGTTCTTTACCTTCCTGAAAATACGCATACGCAGGACACGTTTTGGACGCGATGTCCTATCCAGTATATATAATGGAAATCAATGTATGAAACAGCTGCTGGCATGACACGAATTCTCATGGCCCTCATTGCGTATGCAAATTACCCTCAAAATCAGACATGCGTAATTCAAAATTTCCCGGCGCTGAAACATAACGTGTAGGAAAGCTACCGAATGAACACCTATACTTATTTGGGTCAGCTGAGAAGCGCGGTATACTCGACTGTTTGGGAAAAGAAAATAACCTTGAATAAAGAAATCCCTCTAGGCAAAGCCCTACATAATGACGGTGAGGCGAGTCCATTAAGTGCTCCATTAGTCACGCGTTTTCCACAGAGGATGGAGCCTTGGTAACATGCAATCTCGTCTTATCACGATTTAACGCACTCTACCTCACCAGAGTCAAACCACCATACGCATTTGTATCCAAGGTTGGTCTGCTTGTACTTCTATCGACCAGTTTTCTACTGAGTTCGAAATAAAATTTGTAGTCGCGGAAGGATTGGCAACTTAGGCAATCGTGTCAGGGCCCAAATGAACTGAGCTTAGCATAAGTAGTTCGACAAATTAAAGCCCCAAATTGAGGTATTCTGCTTCATGTTCTGACTTGTATTTCAGGGTGCGTTCAGCCATGAATTCGTCAGATGTATCAAACTGCACGCCGTGCGATGACGAAAAGAGCATAGACAGTTCTAGAGATCCAGGGCAGATCTTCAGGGTCCTTTTCCCTCTATCGGTGATGATCGTTGGCGTGCCGGGTAACTGCCTTATACTGGGCGTATACTGGAGCAAGCCACGTAAAACAACAACCAATCTACTGATCATGGCTCTTGCCTGGGCTGACCTCTTCACCTGCTTGCTACTAATTTACTTCATCGGCCCGAGCTTGACCATCCTCCTCGGGAAACAACCCTCGGAAGCGTTCCTCTATTTAAGATATGGCCTCTATTCAGCAGTTTCATCTTCGGTGTTGATCACCACTCTCATTGCGTTTGACCGATACGATTGCGTGTGCCGACTTTACAGGAGACTGCTAAATCCAAGGAAGATACTCGCGGCACTTGTGCTCGTAGTTCTTTCTGCTTTGATATTTAACTTGCCTTACATTGCGATAGCAGCTGACAATGCCAACAAAGTGCCGTACGCTTTCATTGTTCTATCTGCTTCAACTTTCTGGTACATCGTAACTGTAACGATGATAGCAGTGTGCTACTGCAAAGTTTACAAGACAATCAGAAAACATGTTAAAGTAGACATTTTGCAGACGCCAGATGGATTTGCTCCGAACCCACCAGCAGTGCCCTTGTTCCCTACGGGGAAGCAGATTCAACATTCCTCTCAACAGGGCGACATAGCAGTAGAAACGATCACAAATGTTTCAGTATCAACAACACCTCTTTGTGACACACTACCAGAGTCGATGCAACAACACCAAAGCGAATCAAACGAAATCAGAGTTCCTCCTACAGAGCAGGGTGAAAGCAGCCACGCGTCAGCCAGAGACGGCCGGGCTGGTGTAGGCCATCCAGAGCCGCCAGCAAGGCCTTGCAGCGCAAGACCACCAGGATGCTTCTGCTAGCCAGCCTAGTGCTTCTGATATCGTGGTTGCCGTATTCGATTTACCTCGTGCTGGTTTTCACCAAGTACTTTGGGAACGCCATACCCGATGAGGCTGTTGCTGGTTTTTACCACACCTCCCTAGTGTTGTACATTAATCACGCAATCAATCCACTTATCTATGGCCTAGCGAACATGCGATTCCGACAAGACTGTAAGCATCTCTTATCTAATCTTCCCTGTCGATAGAAAGGCTGAGTACAAAGGCAACGGTAAATTCTGTCACCCTGAAGCTAATTGCAAACCAAAGTAATGTAAAGTTCCCTAAAGAGGACGAAGCAGGATTAAATTCCACACGGGTCTTCTATGATAGCATGGGGGGCAAAAAGGAACTAAAAAGGAAACATCCCGAATTTTAAAAAGTTAAATTCCTCCAGGAAAATTGTCTTGAATGGAAGCATGGTTTATAAACATGTGAAGCATGCATACATTAACGTCATTTTTCTGAAATTCAAACTAGAAACAAAAGTGTGATTTCAATGTTACTTTTTATGTACTATTGTGTTTGTGGCTTTAAACTAGCTATTTTAACTTGCGACCGTCGTAATTGCTAAGCCCAAGCAGACACGTACACAATAATGATCTTTGATCGAAGCAACTAGTAACGAAGTGCTTCAACATATTTGGGAGTTCCAAAACAGAGAGCAGCAGTAAAGGGTATAGCCAAACTCAGTGACGATTCACTAGACACTTCCAATGCCCCCTTCAATGGCGAAAAGCATTGTGCGGATTTTATATGGAGCGACTCTCACGGAACAGAGTATCCGTGCAATAGTAATTCCAATGCTCGAAGCCATCGGTGGGGGCCACTGCGAATGACCAATGATAGCATTACCATGTACACCGGATTCGCTTACATGACGATATCCCCACTTTTATCTCACCCCTAAAGGTGACGCCACTCCCCCTCCCCTTTAAATCTGAATGGGGCTGGTTCCTCCATCGTCAAGATACGTTGCTGGAATAGTTTGTAGGGGTAAACAGCAGTGGTAAACAGTGACTGGCCCTTTTGCGAAAATGTTATTCGGGGAAAAACACTGTCTAAAGCAATGCACCATACTGATTAATGGCACACCAGTGAAGGTAACAATGGTTTATGACGGATGTATTGAAAGATCTGAGTTTTTTCCTGATAGAGATATAGAACGGACAAGGATAAGAAGTAGTTGAAACTCTCGATATTTGTTTCAATGAAATTGCACAAAATTAGGTTTTTAATTTCTAATGAGGCCATAATTTTGGAGGAGCTGAATATTGTTCTATGGACAGAATAGTCTTTATTTGTTGAAAACATGCAGATCGTGCCATTCTGTGTAGTGACGTTGGATAACTGTATGTTCAGGAAACTATCGCCAAATCATGTTAAAGATATTCGCTGTGTGGATACTGACGAAGTGCCGATTATGTTTTGCTTGCACATGTATAAGTTTCATCTTTATTGTTTAAAACATGACACTCATTTTCCTCGTTAAATATGTGTATAGGATTTGCATACAACCCATGTTTGTAAAACCTTTGGCAAACCTTAACCTCACGGTCGTCAGTTTCTGAATATTAAATCTTTTATCCTTTCCCTTTAACGTTTGCTGCAAATCCACACAGAGGTTTTCAGAGCCAGAAGCAATCGCCCGTTCACATTCGAACAAAAATTGAGCATGGGCGTAATCCCTGCGATAAGCTTTACATATCCCCCCCCCCCTTTTGACCGGAGGATGGGCTGTGAATCATCCCGTCCGTACTTTTTGTGGTGACAAATAATTAAAGCGGATCCTGAAAAACATTTAGGACTTCCCAGCAACCACAAATTCAATATTACTCCAAAAGGGAAAGCAATTTTTTTTAAAGCCATAAAAACGCCATTTTGATGTAATATTGGCTTTGCAGGAGTGTACTACATACTGATTTACAGGGTGTCCCAGAAAAAAAACCCAAACCCTGAGGAAAGGGGTTAATATACCCAAACCATGAGAATTGATTATAATTTATGCCCTATCCGAAAAGTAGAAGCAGTATTCTTTCTGACTATACCTTGATGGTATCCCTCCTGCCATGCATGAGTGAACGTCATTGTTTTTTACGTAATTCGCAGTTAATTCCTCTCCGAAACCTTTCGCGTGTCCAAGTCCATTCCTCCTGCAACTGGTTCCCCTTGGCTGTTGCAAAAGCTGCTGTCGAACTGCAGCAACGTTTTCAGGAGTTCGCACTGTGCGCCTCCTTCCCAAATGACCCTTATTCAAATTAAGGCTTGTCCCGTGTTCTCGGTATTTGCGCACATTTTCCCAGATGGTCGACTTTGCCAGTGGATCCCTATGAGGGGAAAGTTTCCCTAAATGCAGCTTGGGTGGCTTGAAAGCTCTTGTTTTCAAGAAATTTTGTCACGACAAACACTCTTTGCTCTTTGGTAAGTTGCATCATGTTGCAGACTTGCTGTCCTGCTTCGAACACTTTTTAACACTGCACTGGCCTTCCTCGGGGCATGTCAACACATTTAAACCAGATTATTGCACAACTTTAAAGTGACAAAAGGCAATCTTCCCTCATTAATTAACATGACCTTTTGTTGTCACTTTCAACCAGGACAAGCATGACAGAGGACAACCTCATTCACTGGTTTATCCAAAGTGTTACAACTGAGTTCGGTTGCCCCATTTTCAAGACAATGGTGTTCAGTCATGCATGGCAGGAGGGATACCATCAAGGTATCATTAGAAAGAATACTGCTTCTACTTTTCGGAGATCCTTATACATTGTAATCATATCCCATGGTTTGGGCATATTAACCCCTTTCCTCAGGGTTTGTTTTTTTCTGTGACACCCTGTATATCATGCGTTACTGCCCCCTCCAAAATTGTTCAAATTTCCAATCCACAGTTCCCGGCACAAATTTACGCTACTGAATAGAGAACTTAACACATAGGAAATTTTATACCATTCATCTCTAGAAGGCTGGATATAAAAGTTGAAACCTCTGTGGTGAGCATCAGTACTGTATGTAAATGACTGAGCTATATCAGACCCATTTACTAGACAGACGATGTGTCTTTCACTGTTTGGAATGTATCCATAACACAATATCACAAATGAGATGAATTCACCATGAATGTATCCCCAAATAGTTGGTAGCTCATTTTGATTTAAATGAATACATTCATTGATAGTTTGTCAGCACTAGACGGACAGCAAAATGGATAGATGGGTGAAATAGACCAAAACTGGATTGTAAAAATTAATTCATAGAACACTGCGCTATATGCATGTATAATCCGATCGACCGATATCTAATGCTTAAATTGCGTGAAAGGAGTGAAAATTCAAATTAAAGTGTGCAGTTGCCAGCGTAACCATTGGTGTTTAATTTTTTGATCAACTTTTTATGACGATGGGCACTTTTTTCAGTGCATCTGGGTAATTTCACGCTGTACTCGAAAATTTTCCGGGCGTGAATGAAAATTTCGAGGAAAATATTTTAACTATACGCAAAGGGCTATTGATTGTCGTGATGGACTTGCACCGTTTTAAACAACGCACATGGAGGTGTGCGCATGACTGCAGCAAGCCGATGCCGAGATGTGATAAAATGAACAGTCTCGATCGCTGAAAACACTGCCCCGAAAACACCTGCTCTTCTCGGATTTTAACAAAGTATGTTAGTTGGTCAATGCCACTGGTTAAGGAGTGAATATACGCGTCAGTCAAAAAGCACGAAGAATCTGTCATCTCATTTATAATCAACATTACAGTACAAATGCAATTTTATGGCTAAAATTCCAATATTCATTTCTTTCGGCATACCGCATCGACCTACCAGATTCTCTAGTTTATATCCAATGCTTGAAATATCTTATCTGTTCACGCATCTTGTATTTATGGGCAGCAGAGCCTGAAAAAGTCAGGCGGTCATTCGGATCCCTTGAGCGTCTCGCTTTTGGGTATTTCAATTTTGGTCTCCCTATCAAGTTCTGTAATATTTGGGATTAAAATCACCTCAGGAAACAAACATGTTGTGGGAAAATTTTCCTGCAGATAGGTTTTAAATATAAGAAGGATTTGATTTAAGACGTTTCACATTGGCAGAGAACCAAGGTTTCCATGTTCGTGCACGTTTGTTTTCGCATCACGTTCTCACTTGAGGACAAGAAAGTCACGTTGCGAAGACTTCCCTACCTTTAGCCTTTGGGCTATAGGTTTAGTTTGGCTGGCCTAGAGCATTTATTTTCAAAAAAGGCTACACGTGACTTTATAATTATTTTCAGGACATTCCTGTAAATGTATTTCAAATAAATGAAACAATGAAACTTACTTGGGTCTTCTGTTTCGATTCCAGTTTTCCTACAGATTAGACACGAGTTGATTTCATGTATTTCAGATGTTCAGAAGTGAGATATCAATAGTTGGTATGATGTTTCTCTTTCAGGTTTCCATGTTAAATTAATCCTCTGGGAGATAATTTACGGGGCCTTTTGGGGAAACAATTTTATAGAAGCAAATGAACGGACAGTATGTGGGAATTCTAAAATCTTTCACGATATTTTTCATATTGAAGGGTTCAGGAAGTGCGCCATTAGGGGCCAATTTTCAGATTCTATTGCTGGGGAAACGCGAGCCTTTCGTCAAGGCGCTCAGATGAGCATGGGCGAGAACACAAAAAATCGGGCGCTACGCAGCCGCCACTTAGGGGAAACCCTGTCAGGCGAATTCTCCGCTCCTCCCGCTTGGTTGATCAGCCTCATGCCTGTCATGCCTCCAAGGCCTTAGCGAAAGGCTAGTGGATGGAACGCATTACTAGTAAATTAGGATAATGAGTCCTATTGTCGTTGGTCTGTGCAGTATAAAGTGTGCGTGTCGTTCTCTTGTTCTGCACCAATATTCTGCAATAGATGCTCTTTGTGCCAAGGTTTGAAGAGACGAAAACGCTAGTAAAAATTACACATCAACCTCACCGTACAGCAAGGTGAAACAGATTACCTCGATTGATTGAGCTAATGCACAGCACGTTCTACCGACTCTGAGTTTCTAGCTGCTGTCAGTCTCGAACTGTTTTCAAAAAGTGTTTTACTTCTCTACGAATATCGCTGTCATGTCCAGCGCACTGGCAAAAGTTATAATTAATTTGGAAGTAGTGATGTCCCTTGTGATCTCCATCTCAAATGAGGAAACCCTACATGTCTGCATGGTTTAATTGCTGAAAACACCCCCCCCAAAAAAAAAACCCTTCCACATTAAAAACCGAAGATTTCTAGTTCTTTTGAAAGATGTCTTTTTTTACCCTTTCTGGAGAAGTATACCGTGGAATACTGTAGAGATGAGAATAGAAGTTGTTTGTAATGAATATTTAAATCACAAATACACTCACAAGAAACTTTAAACAACCAAACCTAGTGAAAAAATAAAAATGAAACTATAAATTTAAAACGACTGGCTTAAACTTGAATCTGATACAACCTACATAATCAAGGGGGTTGCGAGGATGACCTCTCTCTTGAGGAAGACCATAGCAACCTGGTCGACACATTGAGCTTGCTATTCGCTGGTTCTTCTCAGAACCATCATTCTTCTAGAAAAGATCGATTCTAAATGGTGTACCCACAAACTTCTCCCAATCGAGAAAAGATAAGCAATCCAAGTTGTTAGCCTTTCTGAAGCATGACGAAGGCCACTAATAGAAGGGGTAAATTTGGATTAAAGAAAGATTTACCTACACCAAATAGCGCCCCTGTTGTGTTCAACATTCAAATAAGTTAATGTGGCATTGGTAAGGACGATCACTCGTTCTTTACGCGATCGGTCATCTCCTTGCATGAGCTGACGATATTTCCCCTATCAGCCAATCGCCTTTTCTTTGTAATTCACGATTGTTAAAGATTGCCCTAAAGATGGGAGTAATATTTAAGTTTTCTTAGAGGACAGAACTTGGACTAGGGTGTCAGTGAAGACGATAACCCATGAAATTCACAAGAAAGTAACCAGCAGCCTACATCCAGGTGGCCAATGGCTCACCACGTGAGCAAACCAATATCTATGGTGTACTATTTACGAAACACATTTCTGCCTCTCTTTAGACTCTTCCAAGGCGACGCAACTACACGACGCGACGGCATGACGGCTCCCTTGCGTCGTGCCGTCGCCTTCTTGCCATCGTGTTTGTACGCACAAGACATGTTGCGTCGTGCTGTCTCACGTCTGTTCCTTATTGCACTTTTTTCTGCCTACACGTCGGTTCTTATGTCGCCTGTCACGTCGTAAGCTGTGTTGTGCGTCTCATCGCGTATTACGTCGCCTGAAGCACGACGCAACGCGTCGTGAGCTGTCGCCCTTGGCTTCGAAGTGTTTATAGAGGGCTTCTTTAGTGCTTTCTTTCGTCTCCGTCGGTGCTTGCAAAATACATGCCCTAAGCTGCAAGCATTTATTTTTCTTGTTTTTACTTCATCCATTCATCAATTTGAACTAGTTTCTGTCATATTTTGTTAAAAAAAGGAAAAAAAAAGAAAAAGAAAATCAAATAGAAAAATCCGCCTATGTAGGAAATGTTCTCACATCACATTATAATTGTCAGCCCATAATTCGTCATTCTTTAATTACCCGGCTGATGATTTCCTTTTAAGACCGTTGATGAAGTTCCCATTTGTGGTAGATTGGTAACTTTATAGACATTTCTCTGTGGTCCATCCCGGTAATTTCCAAGTAGTACTCCCACTCAAGACGATTTGTCTATAATTGTACGACCACAAGTTTTACCACAGGTTTAGGAAGTTACCACCCAGCCTGCACTATATTAACGTCAGAGAATTTCGTCTTCAGTCTTCCTTCAGTTCAATCTTCCTCGTTGGCTTCATCATCACTACACTTTCAATGAAATTAGTCCGTGTTTCTGAATAAACACTGTAGACTCTACTATCATTGTGACGGTATCTTTTCTTCAACAACGCACGTTTGACAACGCACATAATTTCTCGTCTACATCACCAATTACTTAATAATGATTTATGTATTGTATCTTAGAATGGATCAGAATTAGAGCTAGAAAAGCCGAAACGTTGTTGTAGCTGACGTTCATGTTATTTGTTTCCTGGAGATAATGCTGATAATTGGTCGTGGTGCTCATTCTCATAAAAAACAACCTTTTTCAACAACTCACTCTTCATGAAAACACAAAGTTAGAAAGAATGCATGAAAAGGGACAACGGAATCAAGGCCGGCCGCCTGTAGCATGAAAACGGTAAAGGTGCCCTCTATAAACTGTGGTGTTCTATGGCCGCCAGTATTGCGTCGCGTCATCACGTCGCTCCGACGAGACGCTACAACGGCTCTGTTGCGTCATGCCGTCATGGCATTGCATCGTGCTGTTGTGGCATCTTGCCGTGCCGTCGTGTCGTGTTGTTTCTTGATGCTGTCGCGTCGTGCTAGCTTGTCTTGCCGTCGTAGCGTCGCGTCGTGCCGTCACGCCGTCGAGTCGCCTGTCATTTGTATGGTTTTTATACATTGTGGGTTTTGTGTGCGTACAAACGTAACGGCAAGAAGGCGACGGCAGGACGCAAGAGAGCCGTCGTGCAGTCGCGTCGTGTGGTTGCGTCACCTTGGAAGAGGCTACAGAGAGGCAGAAATGTGTGTCGTAAATAGTGCACCATACAGGACAGATTGAGGTGAACCAATCCTCGTTGCGTGACGTGTCACGACGTTGACTGGACAGCAACGTTAAGAAGCCGTTCACTTGAGGGCGCGCATCGATGCAGGCTTTACGACGAATTCTATAAAACTCTTCGTGCATGGCAAAATTCTAGTTTAATAAATGATTTCTTGTCGTAATTTGGGGTATTGCCAGGCAGGGACGGATCCAGGATTATCCCAAGGGGGCATGGTCTTGGATTTTAAAGGGGGCCTATACAAAAGGAGCAGTGGCTATATGCCCGCGAGTGCGTAGTGCGAAGCCCTTACGGCGTGGGTCTGAGGAATGTTTGGATCCTATAGGCACTTGGTGGTTCAATTTCAGGGAGTATGACCCCTCTTTTTTCTTCTCCCTCCCTCTTTTCTTCTTATTTATATACTTGGTGAAGGGGGGTGCACCCTAACGCCACCTGGATCCGCCCCTGTCAGGTGCGAAGGTCAAATCAACAATCCCTGGGGGCAGCCATGCCAGAAAACGAAGACTGTTTTCTCCACTTGGAGATTCTGATCACCGCGTCAGTTTCCGGTCATGCCAGAACCAGTAGGACTATAACATGTTTCCGGAAACCATGATGAGCATACCATCTGTACAGACAGGTAAAGTAATAAACGTCTGCATATTCTCTTGAGCTTTCCAGTTCCCACGCCTGAATTCTCACTGCCGTATTTCTCCCACCCGCTGAGTTTACAATTTTGAATTGGTCGTTCGAACCACAGTTGTAGTGCTTAATGTATGAAATATGATGAAATAACAGGATTGATTGACTTCCGTTGCCTTCTCCCGACATCATGATTGCGCTTTCTATTACCATATCAGTTTCCTTGTTGTGTCATACACGTTTCTAGATGTATCAAGGAAATTCGAGAAGAGGCGCTAATGAGCAAATACGAAGCACACCGACACAAACGATAAATGGCTCCATCTGTGTTCAGCCTTCTCATGCGTGCCACAGGCTCGTAGGCCTAAGTGTAAGTTGTGGAGAGTGTCTATTCAAATGTACAGGAGTGAAACGCCGTAAACGAGTATGCACACGGGTATAAAAAAACAATATTGTAATGGAAAAGGCAGCCGTGGTGCACCAGGGTTTCTATCCATATGGCGCGCATAAGTAACATTTTTTTCACTTAAAGTGGTAGCTTTTGCTTATTTCAAGATATCTTGAAATTGATTTTGAGATATCTATGAATAGATTTCGAGATTTCTTGAAACATATGTTAAAATCATTTGGTGATATCTTGAAAATGAGTATGAGATATCTGGAAATGGATTTTGAGACATCTAGGATCATATCTCAGAATCATCATTCAAAGGCGTTTAAATGTCAAGAGCTTTTAAAGATATTTTGAAATAATAGAGATATCCTGAAATAAATGAAGATATCTCGATATAACCGAATGGACCGCTTTAACCTGAATAAACGTCACTTTCGCGCGCCATATATCCATCCTAGATTCCAAATAAGATAACCTGCTCGAAACGCAATCATTAAAGTCTCAAGCTAGAACAATTCAGACAGTCATGTTATCACTGACCTCCTATATGCAAAACCAATGCTTACCACAGCTACTCTAGCCCGTCAGCACATAGAAGAACACATCCAGTCACTTTTAAATTCTATCAACGTAATTTCTTAAGAAAATCTAGTGCCCTTTGAAGCTTATGCATTTCCCTATCCCATGTGATTTTATGTTAGGCGTATGCTGCATATATGAACACACTATTGCTTCCAAACTATTGCTTCCTAGTCTTTTTGGAGTATATCAATGAAGATACGGGTAAGGATTTTCAATTGTAAGATTAGGCAAGCCAACATTGATTGAATTATCTCTTGGCCAAGAGCCCGATGTGATCTTCCGTATCAACCTGTTTGTAAATCACTTGCACTAGTGCTAACACGTCGGATATAATTGACACTGACACCGGGAGTTATATTCTGCTGAGAGAGGCTGAATCTGGGTGTGGGAAAATATCGCTCATAACCGTAAATTACATGTACCAAAAAGAAGGATAACTTTACTCGTAGACCATCTTCTTAAAAGGGAAACACGATGTATATATCTACCAACGTACGTATATCGGTTCAATCACCCATGTATAGCATTTCAGAACCTCTTTCGTCAAAACAAGACAAATGGGAGAGATATGTTAATTTGCCCCGAACGATGAAAACGTTTCAGATTGCCGATAGTAAATACGTTTATTGTTTACAACATTAAAAGTAATTTATCCGCCTTTCCCACTCCGATAATTGACAGAACAATATCAAATTATGCTTCACTGCTTCACGATTCTGTGGAGAAATTGTCTGTGAGATTTCTTGCACGGACTCGAACCTACGACCACCAGTTTAAGGATATCCTGGATACATGATGATTTTCAATACAGGAAAAGAATCAAATGGACACACTCCTCAAGTTATACATAACAGAGACAACAAACGTAGGGTTGCCAGAGTGAGCCTAATTGACAAATGTACAGTATCTGCTGTATCTGAAGAACAAAAAAATGTCTCATTTGTGGATAATGTGGACTAGTCATTTTTCCCACTAACCCTAGATTTAGAAGTTACTTTCTACGTGTGTAATGAGCTTACCAACTTTGTTTACACGTGTTCAGCGCCAAACATACAGAAAAGTGATTTTAGACCAACAAGATCTTGAGCTCGGATGTTTCAGTCTGCAAATCCGCCTGATATCAGGCTGTTGATCCCCACCCTCTTTTAGGTACTTCGCTGGATTGGTCTGGTGAACCAGACGTTAATGCGATTTCATGCTTAGCCGTTCCAACGCTTAGAAACACTTTTCATGCCGTTCCAATAATCGGAATAATCGATGGCGCATTTGGAGTGGCTTGTACTAAGACTATTACCTAGTCCATAGATGCCATCTGCTTAAAGCTTCATAAACTTTGTGTGACAAATCTTTTGGACGACTGAGTTCGGGTTGAACTGCACTTTTACTAAGGTTAAATGTTTTAGCTCTTATGTTCGCGACTCCTTTTAACACCACGTAGTGAACGGCAGACCTCAGACGGTCGTGGTGGTCTTTGAGTGGTAACATAGGGTGATGCAACTGCCGCACGAGACTCTACTATAGAAATCAACTTTAACTCGTGAACAGCAACCATGTCATTGTGTTGGGTTCCTTTTTTCTTGGTGGTCTCCGTATTTTGCCGTATGTATGAGCAGTAAATTTATTTATAAATATCTGTTTAACCATTTCTTTAGTTCAGTCTCCATTGCGTTTTTTCTCATTCGAATAGATGATTTTGATCAATTAATAAACGAATCATCCAGACTATTCCAATATAAAGTGCTGTAAAGGACGACACTGTTTTTGAGCAGTGAGGTTCTCCCATAATTAACATAAAGGTTCTTTTTAGTAGAACTGCATGCGGGTACTACAGGGATGAATGTTTGAAGCTGGCGTAAAACCGGGGTTAAAGCAACCAGGTAATTCATGGTTCTCACATTATAATTAATTAATGTATATATAAGCATACATTTTCCTAAGTTAGATGGTACAGGTCTGTGAATTTTAAACGGTATATATTAACAAATAAAGGCCAAGAGTGGTCACGGTAACCACTACATATTATTAGAAATTACTCAAACAGCTTGTTTCTCTAAAGGAAGTCAAAAGATCACTCAAATAGCCCAAAGTCAGATTGGAGCAGTTTAACACTGTAAAGCAAAAGGGTTGTATGGAGATAAAGAAGAAAATATTTTAGAAGGTTCATAAACCCATTTTTATTTTTCTTCAATATGCATCCCAAGAATATAGAACTCTTTATACCTGTCTTTAGCTTTCTACAATGTAAAATTAAAAGAACATAATAGTGTTCTTGTACTGTCTAGTAGAGAATATTATATGATTTGATATGAGAACAAATATACATAAATTTGTTGGTTAAAATGCCATGTAGTTATCTTCCGGATAACATTAAGATCCTTTACCCCTCAACTCAGTAATGAACAGTGTCATTTGAGAATAGCAAAAATGTATTAGTCCATGTTTCTGAGGTATAGTAGATGTTATTATTATACTAGATAAACAATAAAGGACCATATGAAGATCCCTGCACAATACGGTAAGTAATTGTCCGAACTGCAGAGTTTACAGTTTACGTCTCAAGCCAGATTACGTCTTTGATAAAATCTGATTCTTTTAAAAGAATAATAAATCTTGTATAAATTAACTTTCACATCTTTTGAAAATGTTGATAAATCATATATTGATCTGTAATTTCCAATATCTTGGCTTTTCTCCGAGAAGGTATACAGTATAAACGTGAAACTTGGCACGAATATCGCCCTAGTTCTTAAATGTGCATACAAGTGTAACGTTACGATGGCGCTATCAGAGGTCAAATTACAAGAGACTGTAGTACCCACTTCTATCAGCTGTCTCATGACCCAGTACGGGTATGGTGTTCATACTGTACTACAGACAAGAAACCACGTTGCCTCTTGTATATATGACGCAACTGTATGACGCGACTGCGCAACGGCTCCCCTGCATCCTGCTGTCGCGTCGAGCCATCGGTAGCATAGTAATGTCACGTATGGAGGAGGCGACGCGGTGTGTCGTAAATAGTCCACCATAGTTTTCTCTTTAGAGTGACTCCGACATTTAATATACATGTACTTAAGAGACTTTATCTAGCACAAATAATGAAATCAACTAGAATTTTGATGATGTGAATCAAAATTCGATGATGCCATCAAACCGGAAATCAATATTGCACGATCATTCCATGTTTGTAACTAAAACAATAACGCCCCGTCAAGTTTAAATTTTCTTTTATTTTTGTTACCAATTTCAGACCTGTGCTGCTGCCATCCAATCGGCGGAGGTCCTACCCGAGTCAGAGGAACATTTTCGTCCGGTACCAAACCATTAAAATGTCACAATATAGATCAAATAATTTTGTAGTACGCTGGATGTAGAATGCAGATATGGAAATTTATGCACACACAACATGTAACAGACCATGCCCCTGATCGCTTGGAATTTCATCTGAACCATCACTTGCATAGCAACGGAGGAGGGTTATATGTTCTCTGATTGTCTAATTGTAGGGGATAGGTGCGATGAAGGTCATGGGATATTTTTAAATTCAGAACACTGAAAAGAGAAAATTGTCATCTTCGAATAATTCATAATTTTGTGAAAGTTTTTTCTTTTATTCACAAAGCACCTTGTACGCCTCGGCCGCTGGGGATAGAAAGCGGACAGATCCCTGACGGAAGCATCACTGCGTCGTCTTACCATGGCACTTATCCCCCACGTAACGCTCGACTCAACAAAGTGGGTTAGTCTCTGCCTCGCTTGCAAGACCGTAAAATCAATCAATAATGCAAAAAGATGAAAGGGGTTTTAAGAGTGTGCGAAACAAGCCAATCATATGGAGTCCAACATTACTGTCTGTTTTACAGGGCGCACCAAAATAAAGGAAACCCAAGTTCAACCATAATTTATAAGAAAAATGCAAATTTCTTATTTAAGCATCATGTTCCCAGAAAGGCCTGGATGTCCTCCTCCCAATGGCACCTTGATCATGTGCTAAATGTCACGGTTGAAGAAGTAATAGTGCAATGTTGACTAGCAGGTGAAATTTGCACTGTGATAAATTAGCATACCAACATATTCAAATCTCTTGTTTGTGTTCGCCTAAGCACATTGAAATGTGCACTGGTTCAAATCTTTCGGTTGTTATCTGGTGTTTAGTTGTAATATTTCAGATTTTTTATCAAGGTTTTCAATAAAAACCGAGATCTCCAAGTAAAAATAAATTGTTTGAAGACGCAGAAGTTGTTCTGTTCAGACAATAATTATTACGGTAGCCGGAATATAGGTAGAAAATTGGAAAAGTGTTAACAGCTACCCTCAAATTGGACTGATGAAATCTATTGCATATATGAAAAGTTTACTGAAATGATCGCTAGTTTCGCAGACTGTTGGTGGCGAAACAGACAAAAAGGGGTAAAATCAAATTAGCCTGAAATATCCTGACGCAGTTGAAACAAATCCTTTCAAATAATGCTTGCATAATTTTTGGTCTTAGCGGATTATAATCGATATTCTCTTTGAGACTACACAGTGTGTACACATTTGTAATTTTGAACAAGACAATTATGCCACGATTTCATCTTGTCCGACAGGTAGCATCGGATGGAGACCAAGAACTCCATCGGGCTCATGGATCCAGGTCGATTTGGGTCAACCCACGGCTGTTACTGGGTCTACAGTACAGGGATATACCAGTAATTCATATTACATCACGGCTTTCTTCGTGAACCACAGTCTCACAGCCGAGTCGAGTGACTGGCAGAGCTTAGCTGATGCGGACAGCGGAGTAATCGGAGTGAGTTATTGGCACACACATACAGACGCTTTGGTGGTTTACCCAAACCAAACAACGCCCTCCTGTTCTGTCCACAATATTTCAAGTAGAGAGTAGGACCTGGGGATTCAAAAATAAATAGGAACTAAATGGAAAAACTGCAGCCAGGCAAAAAGATTAAACGAAGAAAAGCACTCTCCATCCTGCCCTCGACTAAAGTAATGTTTTTCTTTATACAGAATGGAATACAGAAGAAGCTATTGCTGTTGTTAACGAGCTAATAGACATTACCACTGTACGCGCTAATCGAAAGCCTCTATCCTTGACAATAACAGTTCTTTTCACGAACGGAAGGGTGCATTGTTATATAACCGGCCACCATTTTGAAAAGTGACTGCTAAAAACGTTTTTCTGTAGTTCCAATAAATATTACCATATACAGCCTGTTGTGAATTCCAACAACATTTTACGAAGAAAATACAACACTTCCCCTCGCTAGTGATGCGCAACAGCACTCACTGCGCCGCCTACTGTGGCCTAAATAGTACACCATACCCCTTAAAGCCGGGTTTCAATTACTATCCTTAATATGCATTTACTAATGGTAATCTTCCAGTTCAGTGTGAGTAGTGGGCGACCGACGAATGTCAGCTTTCCCTTGGTACCCATTGCACGGTATCTTCGTATTTTAACTGCCTCTTGGCAAAGTGCTTACTTCTACCTGAGATTTGAAGTGTTCGGCTGCCAAGGTAATCTCTAATATAATTATGTTAAAACATGCGTTATTCCTCGTACATTCAATTTTTTAATACATAGAATTTGCATCAAGTTCGGAGTCCATCTGAATATTGCGAAAAGAAGGGTTCTTCAATCATGGTTCAATCTGAAGTTAAAGATCACGATTTTTGCTTTAAAATGTTCGCAAATGCTGACGTAGGAAACTTAACACGTGGTCCACAAAAACTGGGGCACACGGAGGAAATTGGAATATCCTTTTACCCCCCCCCCCAATAATAACCAATAAACATCCCATAACAAATGCACAAGATACTGCTGGTGGTGTTTATAGTTCGAGTTATGGTATCCGTAGAATAAGTTCTATAAGAAGTCAGTCAAAATTCGTTTTGAAGATGCCAATTATTCCACTATAACACGATCGAATGTTCAACACTGGATTCGTGACCATCTGTGAATAGAGCATAAAGGTAAAATTTTGCCCTCCATGGAAGCCAGCCGGTGGGGCTTTAGTGACATTAATGAAACGATACCATGTAGTAGAGCGGGATATATCAGCAAAAAATGAAATAAGGCACCCTTGGTTGTCTATAGTTTACATTTTGTTTGGATCTGGAAAGATACAAAAACGGAATAAAAAGGCGTAAGTAAGTAAGTAAGTTAGTAGAACGACAGCCGTATTCCGCGTACTTGCAAGTGGTTTTGATAGCTTCTTTCCGGTAAACTTATTATAAAATCAATTAATGTTTAAAAAATGAATTATTGAATATTGGTCAATAGTATTTCCTGTACTTTGAAAATCTTTTGAGTTCGAAATTAGTAGCAAATTATGATCAGTTATAGATTGACATGTTTGTAGATGCTCTCTTCAGCAGCGGATCCATGATTTTTGCTAGGGGTGTTCGTTGTTGTTGTAGCCCTTGAACCTGTTTGTTTTGAACTTAACCGAACCCGTTAATAAGATCCCTGTAGGATTTATGCTTTTGGGGGCTTGGGCTTGCAACCTTTAGACGCAGGCCACTCAACAAAAAATGGCATTGGGTGGGAGTAGGTTAACAGCCCCCCTATCTGCGCCTGCTTTTGTTGCGTCACTCCAATGACAAATCAACTATTGAACATTAAACAGACCATATCGACGGTGCTCTGAGGTTGGTGAACGCCAGGGACAGATACAGTGGCCGAGTGGAAATCTTCCATGTGGATACAGGCACATGGGGCGCGGTGTGTGCCGACCAGTGGGGCACAGATGCCGCTCAGGTCGTGTGCCGTCAGGTTGATCTCGGAGCTGCGATTCGGGCGAAGACGGCGTCTGAATTCGGCAGAGGCGAGAAGCCAGTCGTGATGAACAGGGTGGCCTGTGAGGGGACGGAGAGTCGGCTGGCTGACTGCCCGTTCGTCTGCACCAGCTACCAGGAGTGTGGGGGCTCGCACGTCGCCGGGGTAGTTTGCCGACCGAAACTTAGTAAGCCATTTGAAATATGGCTCTTAAAATTCAACATTTTGGCGACTGTTATTTTATCCCGAGCAGAATAATTAAATGTTTACGTGAAGCGTTTGGCACCAACGTGTTGCGGGTGTTCTTTATGCACCCTTCAAACACTTATTGCACAGCCTTACTTTTAGTTCATAGGGCCCGACTCAAGTTTTGTCGCTCTGCACGTACAATACGTGAATTCAACAGATACTGTTCGGTTGGTGGGTGGCTACAATAACTCCAGTGGCCGGGTAGAGATTTACCGCAATGACTCATGGGGTACAATCTGCGACAACAAGTGGGACTCCACAGATGCCGGGGTTGTCTGCCGTCAACTCGGGTTCTCGGGGGTCCAAGAGGCAAAATCCAGTGCCCACTTCGGACAGGGCAGCGGTCCCGTCCACATGGAAGGCGTGGCGTGTGCTGGCCAAGAGGATGAGCTAGGACACTGCCCTTCACTTTGTTGGACTGAATCAAAATGCAGCCACGGCCGAGATGCCGGAGTGATTTGCCTTAATGGTGGGTGTAAGATTTTGATAATTTACTTCAGTTGCTATCTTCACAGAAAAACCATAACATACGAACAAATTATCAGCTTAAATTTAAAAGAGAAGGATAACCATACACTTAAATTACTCATTTTTTAATCAGTATTCTGAGCAGCCAAATCAGTAAAGAGGTTATAAACACACCGTTTGGTGGCTACGTAACAGAAGTAGGCCGTGCATTGGTAAAAGAGAGAATTTTCAGGATTCTAGCGTTCAATTTAAAACAAAATAGAGCGTTTGGGAGATACTCAACGCCAAATTGTAACTTTTTACCGCCACAAAGTCGATTTCTTTCTCAGTAGGGAGATATTTGCTTTTGTTGCTGTTCCAGACAATACCAGTGGTTCTGATGAGGAAATCAACTCCGAGTAACAAGACAAGTGAATTTACTCAAGCCAGGGTTGCGGTCCCATATAATGTCTACATATAGCATTTACTCTTTATGCAGTTGCGTTTGCTCAAAATGTAGTTTTTATTAACTGCCAGGGATTTGGAACAGTGTCTCGGCATTATAATAACTCCAAAATGCCCTTCCCTCTGCCCTGTTCCATAAATGCTGGGGACAGTAGGTATTATGCTTAAATAATTTGTGTTAATTCACTATCTGATTAAAACTATAGCTAATGCCAAAAAGGATTTCTGCTCTGTACAAAAATGGTTGGGCATATTTTGACCAACGTTTCCCCTAAATTTGTGCTGATTTCAACTTCCTAACTTCTTGTCACAAGGAGTCAAACTGTTTTGGAAAATGACCATGAACATTTACACAAAATTTACCACTAATTTTATAAAGTGATCATTATCTGGATAATTTAGCTTTGTCCAACTTTTTTTGCCCAACAATATTTTTTATTGAACAACTTCAGACAAAGCGGGGTCAGCTGCGAGCATCCGATTGCTACGGAAACGTGTATGGCAACCACTATGCGTACTGGTCACCATGGCTCCGAAGGAAATCTACTGCATCGTCATTCGTTCGTCTACTGCGTGTGAAATGAGATATCGTAACAACTTTTGGGAAACCTCACTCTCGCGAGCTTTGCATATTTCTTAATATGAGTGACTCAAACCCAGCAGTTCGTCCCTAGTCATTGCAATACGTTATAAGCTATGCAGCTTTTAAGTTGGACGACAGAACACAAAAGCAATGCCATAATGCCTACTTGGCCCTGGTTGGTATAAACCAACTGTCAACTGGATTTTTCGGAATTCGTTATTATGCGCTCCTGTCCAAACTACACAATCGTACCTATTCATGTAGACTCCATGGAACTTTAAGGGGAAAAAAGGTCTCGAAAGAAAAAAACAAAAAAAGCACCACTTACACGATGGCACAACGTTACAGAAGTTGTCTTTTTCCTGAAGAAAAGGGGGCACGTGTCAGACAAAAGGAAATATGTTTTTGTCCCCAATGTCCGACTTTTAAACGTATTTCTGACACCTCACCCGAAATGCAAAATTCTGTCATAACAGACATTCAATAATCAAAGCGCTGTTGGGGCAATACAAAGGGTGCATAGTGGCGAATTAAGCAGAAGGACACACATTGACGTCACAGACTTGATCATTGCAGTCGTTTCAGCAAAACGGAATTAACAAAGAATCCGATTAAACTATAGTACCCTTTATTGGGGACGGATGACAGTCTTTGGACTTAAAATTTCAAAGCACAAAAACATTACAACCAACACGCGCTCACTAGCAAAAGTACATTTCATTAATGACAATGAACGCATATTAAAGATGGAATTATGGGCTGCAAATGGAAGTCAGCTGATTTTGAGTAGCCCCGGCCATTAAACATATTCAATATAATACCCTTCTTCTCTCCTGTGAAATACATAAGCAAGTGCACTTTCATTGAACTACAGCTAGGCTAAGTGTACGTGTATTAAATATATTACATCTTGCGTAATGTATCTTAAATACTTTAAAAACAGACATAAAAGTACATCCTCTAGTCTTTACTTGTCATGAATGTTTTTCTTCTTTGTGGAATTTATAGCTTATACATTAATATGCTAAATTATACACATATCTTAATACTTAAAATACAAACCCTTTTAACATTTTAAGCACACATCGGTAACAAGGTCAAATAAAGTTTAAACATGACAACATGGGTATTCATGCAACAACTGTGTTTGTTCAAGTGACTTGATTCCATTGCTCACATTAAAAATGCTGTAAGCTTTATTTCAATTATAATCAGTATCAAACTTACAAAGGTGCGCCCTCATAGAAAATCTGTGCATTTAGTTTAAAACAGAAATACACTCAGTAAATCAAGCAAATCCTCAAAACATATAAAATAACACCCATTTATAGTTTCTTCATCTTGTACAAAGCTTCAGTCTAACCATCAAGCCGTATCAATAAATATATTATAGTAGAAAACAAGCACTGATGTCTGGGCATTGTGTGCATTCAGAACAGTCAGAGCTGTGACCTAACGTAACAGGGGTGTATTTTGCAGGGGGGCACTTGGGGGCCCTTATTTTCTAGACCAAAGCGGCCCATCGGGGGCACAGGCCTCGAGAGGGAGGGGTGTGCCTCCCTTAGTTAAGCCACTAAGCAAGAGCAGTGTCAGAGTATCTACAGTGAGAAGGGCAGCAACGGAGCTGGTTTGTGTATATAGTCATACCTTCCAGTGGCAGCAGGTAGGTTAATATCAACACTGACAGCTTTTGAATTAAATAGCATTTAAATTGGGCAGACCAATTTAAAAATTTGACAATCTTGGACTTCCTGAGGGAGCTCAGCATATTTTGAAAATACACACTAAGAAGAATATTAAGCAGGCAGCTGTTATCAGTTGCCACTGGGGGAGATTCTAAAAGCATTTGATGAGTATGGTCATTGTTCATGTTCAGAGTTTGTACTTCTGGTATTGTTGCTCCTCAGCCTGGAGATGCATAATAGTCTCATGGTGGTTGGGTTCCAGATTGGTCAGCAGCTGGTCCGCAATGCGATTACGCAGTCGGGTGCCAACCTACCAATAGGACAAATATATTCAATTAATGAAATTGTGTGGAATGCCAATTTCAGGAGTATAAAATAAACGTTTATGAGACACTGAAATGTGTGAAGATAATTACCCAAGGGACATGTCTATTATTGAGGAGAAAATGACAACATAGGCTGCAAATGCAGAATTAACATCATTAAGTGGTATACAGACATCAGTAGTTGATTCACCATTTACAGAAAGTGGGGCACTATCAACTGAGGTGAATCCGCAAGTACAAACGAGGCATAATTTAAAGATATTTCCATTCTTAAAGTCATTATTACATAAGCAGCTAACAGCAAATTAAGAGAAATACGGCCAAGGTAGTTTCCTACTAATCCATTCAAAAAATGTCAGAAACAAAGCCAAGGTCACTTGCTACAAATGGAAAGATGCAAAAGAATACAATTTGAACTGATATTAAGGCAAGGCAAATCAAAATTATGACCAAAGATCGTATAGTGCCGCATAGTGGCGCAAGATGGCGAACTTCACTGTGAATGCACGTAAAACGTTGAAATCGCATGGGCACCATTTGAGCAAGCGATACGCCTGCGCAATGCACAGTAATGCACTGGCGCATGTGCCGCGGCAGGCATGTGTACCTGGTGAGCCTGCGCCTAAGCAGTACCGTGAACTGCGCAGGCGTATCGCTTGCTCAAATGGTGCCCATGGTAATTACACCTTTTGGGCAGAGTTATCCATCTTATGCCTTCGGCGCTATACGATCTTTGATTATGACATTAATGATTGTAAATACAGTGTGAGTGTATGGGAGCCTGTGCCATGTGCATCCTCTTCTCGATCCACGACTGAAAACTGCAGGTCGATGACATAGAAGAGATGATGTCATCAACCTAAATCTGTACACTCACCTCTCAAAGTTCCAAAATCTCACACTGGATTTTTTTCACTGCACGTGTGAAAGCTTTGCAAACATTTGGCCTTGCAGTCTGTGTGTTCTAGCTAATTCCTACTTGTCTGTTGGATTCTTTCAGCACGAGGTATTACACTCACCGTCTTGGGCCTCTGTGTGATGCGGTCCCCCCTCTCATTGTTGGCCACGGGGGGCCAGGGGTCGGGGGTGACCGACCTCTGCTGGTAGTTGGGCGGCATAATGGTGCTTGGTGGCCATGCCCCTGTACTGGTGCTCATGCTGCTTGTTGCCCGGTGGCTCTTGGGCCTTTTGTCAGCAGTGGTGGCTCTGGACTTGGACCGCATTGCTGTTGAGGGAACACATCGGACATGACAGATAAATTTTACACGTAGTGGAATGCATTTTTATGACCAACTGTTCAAGAAGGTTGATAAAGAAGTTGGACGTCAGCTTTGATTGGCTTGCTTTCTGCAGTCTTTGTACTTTTTTAATTTGAAGCCACATTAGTTTTTCATAAATCAACAACCAGACATTTAAATAGCCAGTATCAAAACACCATGACTTATCTGTCTTTCAGGCTTTGGACAAATCAATACACTTCTTTATTAGTACTGGTAGCACAAACATTTTCATACAACAATCGATCTTCACACTCAATTCCTTTTTCATATTAGTTCTGTTGTTCATTCTGCATCAAAACATGGCTGCTAGGGTTTTTGGGAGGGGGTTGCAAAAAACTCATCAGCAATAAACTGACAAATATCAACGGTGGAAAAGGGTCATTTCCAAGGTATTTTCAATGTCAATTATTCCATCTCCTTTCTTCCTTTTTTGTTCCTTTCCCTTTGCATTTTTTTCCCTCTACAAAAGTTTTCACTTTCCCCCAGGGTTTCCCTATTATGTCCATACATCAGAATTTACCAGACTTTCAAGGGTTGTAACATTATAATTATTTATATTTATACATTTTTCCAACTACAACACTGCTTGAATAAATCAAAAGTATTTGTAGACTGAGTCTCTGCAGAAAGCATGCAACATATCTAAACAGCTCAACTGCCAACAAGCCAAAGCGTGCAGGTTGACTCTGTATAAAAACAATTTTAAATAGGGGTGAAGATGACAGATTGTTAATGTTCAACCACTTCACAATGTCATCATTGCAATCATTTTAGCTGTGACTGTAAAAAAGGATAACAGTGAGATAAAATGAATTAGTACATCAGGGCTGTTAAAATGATGTTGGGTTAGTGGGTTAGTACTTACATGTATGTATACACATGTCTTTCCACAGTTAAATGAAATACAATGTAGCATTGCTTGTTAGATGTTAGCAATGGTAGAAAAAGCTGGGTTCTTAAATCCATTTTTGGTTCACAGAAACTCTCACCAAGGGACAATTGAGTTATTTTAGCTGAGATAGGGTATGCATGTTAATGACTTGTAAGGATAGAAAAGGTACTACTGCAAATAAAGTCATGAACTCCAGGGGATGCATAAAGGCGATAATAACATTTTTTTCAACTGTAACATCATTAAGATTATAAATTTAATGTTTCTTCTTATAAGCACACAGGTGAGGAGGTACTTGATTAAATCCAGCCCAAACCCCCAAGAACAAACATGCAATGCTCAATAGACACTCATCTTGCATTTGAGGACCCAGCACTATGAGGGTAGTGATGGAGATGGGAATGATGGTTAGGCCCTAAATCAATGATGAGACTGGTGTTGAGTGCATGTTCCGTGTAAGCCAGTCCTGTGACCCAATATGGCATAAAAGTAGATTCAAACCCCGTAGCATCTCTGCAGCTCTTTAATGGTGACAAGTGGAAAAAATACTTAAAAATATAATGGGTGCAGGAAATACAGCATCTTTTCCGATCATGCCTCTGTGTTGCAATACATGTTTTTGGGCATGAATAATATTCATCCTGGGCAAACAGAGTGCACTCTTATGTCTTTCAGAGCAGATATGTCAAACAGTCCACTCTCTGCCTACTAAGAGGCAAAGAGTAGACTATACAACCTTGTTTAACCTTTGGTCCCAGAGCACCCTCACACAAAGCCAATACAGTGATAAAGTGTAGAGCATGTTTTATATGGTGATGTGCACAAGCATTTATTGAAATGGGTTGCAATGAGTGCATGTTAGATTCAATATTTCTCTCAGAAGTCCACATCCCCGACCCCTTTTCCAAATAAGCATGACTTCAGGGGTAGCATTTGTTTCAAGCAAAGTCTACTGAACATCAGCTTTTCTCTTCTTTAAAAAGTCTACTCACGGGGCAGCTGACGTGGTGTAAAAAGACCTGTTGAGTTGCAGACACATGGGTGGGAATTGAGTTTAGCAATGGAGAAATGGAGGATAATTTTTAACAAATCTGGCAAACAACTTTAAACTCTGTGAAAATGTGGATGTCATTTGGCTCTGTACACTGACTGATGTCTCCAGGTCATTTCAAAACCAATTTTTTGAACATCAGTCATACCACTCTCCCTCAATGTTCAATTTTATCAATGCAATACGGTATGTGCTCCAACAGTGCCTACAAGTGCAACTGTGTAAAAAAACAAATACCAATGAAATATAAAAAAAACTTTGTGTGATTACAATGAAATTTTGCAGTTCTACTCATAATGGACATTTTACGTATTCTCTGAAATTAAAGCTGGAAATCTGTTGCTGAGAAGCTTACATTCTGTGTCCTGTGTACAATACAGTTGTAACATGTTGTGAGTGACATGCACATGTACAAACATTGGGCATGAAGTCTTAAACTTGGCACTGGAACAAGCTACATGCATGCTCTCTGTGTGTATTGAATTGGAAAGTGCAAAAAGCTGCTTGAGTGTAGATGACTTTTTCACTTTAAAAGCACCAGATAAGGGGTACTGTTGAAATGGATAAAAACATATGGAAGGTCAAAGAAAGAAGTCAAAATTTCAACAAGTAATATGGTGATCATTATCACTCAACTTGAATTTAGAATAAATACAACCAAAAATGGATTTAATACTTGTCCATCCCTCTTAACAAAAGGAGGCTGGTACAGCTCACCTTTGTAATTACAATTCAGAATTTCTGTAGTGCAAGATTACTTCATCAGGCAAATACTACCCTACTCATGCATATTATGAACTACATTGACTTTGCATTGCCATTGGCCCAAAATTAATGAAACATATGTGGATGTTATGTTTTAACGAATGTTATTTAGGATAAGAGGGAGTTGTATGCACTTCAACCATTACAAAGGACATTACAAATACTCATGAATGTCATGGTGTTTATACCTAGCATGTTCAGAGAAACATTATATCCTGATACTATCTATTCTGATTTCTATCAAAGGTTGCATTGTCAGTGCTGTTATGGATGTCAAATGTGTCATAAAATGGACAGCGACATCACAAGCTAACACATAAGTCCACATTTGGACATATCATGAAAACCATGCAAAGAACATGTGCAGTTCCATGAACATACTTCGCACACAAAGTTGTGGTTTAAAAATTGGGGTATCACATGTAACACACAAGAATGTTTTGGATAAATACAATTCAGAGGAAAATATGTGTCAATGTTTGACACAAATTATTCATATGTATAATTGTGGGATACAGTAGCATTTACGTTTAACTGCTTAGGAAATCAACAAATGTTTTACTTGTGAAAACCAAATTTTCTTGAAACTCCTGTGTGTTTAAATACGGAAATTACAGGAACAGAAATTTCTCCGCGCCTTGGTGCCACTTTGCATTAGTTTGTGATGACGATGACAACATTCTACAGAAAAAGAACTTTGAACTAATAAGGGTAATAGTTATGGGTAATACTAGTGTATTCCTGGGATGTAGTCAAGTATTTTGAGACAATTTGATAATCTGTGAGTGACAGTTCATGCATGTAACCTTCATAAATTGCAGATAAACATTTATTATAAGATTGGAGCCCTTGGGCTTTGCAGGAAATGACCAAGACATGAGTTCAGTTTTCTCAAGGGAAATAGAGGACATTAAAGAAAACTGAAAAATTAGGGTTATTAACCACTACCTGCCGGGTGGATTTCTCTTGAGTGCGATGTAATGGCAGGACCTTTTCAAGATTTTCCTTTTTCAAAATTCTTCAAAAATTCATGTGTTCATTTACTGGACGTTTACACCCACACAAACGACTCTCTGGTGGCTACTCTAATCTGTCAGGAACCTTCATTGACATCCGAGTATTCAACCCAGGCCTGCAGCCCTGTGAAAGAGGGCCCAGAATTGTGTGGTGTCGTATAATTTCCTTTGTTCCGGTGAATGCCAGTAGCATTTTTCATACGCGGCTGGATTTGCGAGCAGCAGGGCTGTGTTGCTTATCAATGGGGCCCTGGAGCACTTTTGTCGGCAGTGCTAATCTGCGGGCGCGCTATGCCCCTAAACAGTGGTATACTGTTTCAAAACAGTGCCGGATTAAACCTTTGAAGAATGGAAGTCGAAAAATGATGGCAATTCCCAGCAGCAGGTCCTTTGTTCTGAGTACAGTCTTTTGTTACACAGACCAGCTCTTTTGTCCGAAACCGGGCACCCCAGCTCGGTGTATAAACACATGGTGCCCAAAACCGGGCTCCCCAGCAGGAAGTGGTTAAGATGGGCCAAACAGTGTTGCAGTTGAGCCCATGAAAAAAGATCACTTGACCAAGTTCATACAGGGGTCGAAATTAACTTGGTTTCTATGGTAGCCCACAGGACTAGTAATGTCATTGTTTTATTAGTCCTTTGAGTTTTTCAGTAGTCCTACAAAAATGCTAATAGGCCTAGGCCTAAGTACAGTAAAACAACACAGGATTCTTTTCATTTACATGTATATAAGTATGGTTTAATATGCCTTATATTTGCTATTCCACATTTTATGTTACTCTCCAGCAGGCATTCAGGTCCCAGGAGGCGAACACTGCTACTTTCCACGATTCTAGTCCCCAGACTAGCAACGTTCACTTTAGTTTTTGAAAGCCAATATAGGATTTTCACATTAAAACTTTACGTTAAAGTAACCCAAAACAGCATACATTCACAATTTTTTGTCATACTTGCGTTAGCAGAGGAAGGATTTTTGGCACTCAAAACGTTTCCTAAATTGCGCGAATCCGAAAAGACGGTATCGATCCATCGATCATTCTTTTCAGTAACAGCCAGTAGAAATCAATCTTACGTGCTGGAAAGACTATTGTTATCGCTTCAAACACGCAGGCTGATTGGACAAAACGCTGGATTATTTTGGCAATAGCCCAATAGAAAACGTTTTTTCTGGTTGCACAATATATCGTTAAAGTGTATGGGGTACCGTGAAATCCACACGTACACTTGTATGATGCGTACAATGTCGTGTGGCTGGCCTACGTGTGTAGAGTATCAGCTCGACGTGGATACATGTACACATGGGCCTTGTTATGTACGGAAAGAACCTGTCGTGCCTACAGTGTAACGGTAGGCTGTACAAATGTACATGTACATGCATCTGCAATCAAAATACCACTGCACGGCATGGTGTTACATTTACAGTGTGTATTTCTTTTCATGCCCCCGCTAAAAAAGGCACTAGCCCGTCGGACTACCGACAAGTAGGAACTACTAGTCCTCCCACTAAAACCACTAGCCTCGGGCTAGCGGACTACCGCTAATTTCGACTCCTGATTTCAGATCCATAGATGAGTAATGGGAAATCTAGTCATGAATCTAGACTAAGTCTGGCAAACATGCTTAAAAACCTAGCAGGGTCAATGACTTCAATGTAAAGAGTGTACCAACAGGCTATATCCTGATTTCTATTGTGAAGACTTCAGAAGTCATTCAGGTACTTGATGCAAGTATTAGGAAACATCAAGGCAACACAAGTATTTAAAAAATGAAACAGAAACATGTTTCTGAAAGTAAAACCTCCAAGAATCAGGCATGCATGGTTAATTTACCCAGCAAATTTTCCCTAGATGTTGACTTGGATCGGGGCATACGAGCCGCCATGCCAGCGGCACTGGTGTTGGAAGCGTAGCGGGAACGTGACCTGGAAGCAGCTGCGAGGTTGACCTCGCTACTAGATCGTTGGCCAAGGGCACCACTTTTGTTGCCATCTGCGATTTGTGGGGGGAGGGGGTTATGGTAGATGACAAAAAATGACAAATTTTTTGTGGAAAAGGTGATGAATGGATGAGGATAGCACATACCACAGACAGACGTAAAAGGAAAGACATAATGAACAGAAAATGGGAAAGGAGAAGAGTGGATGTAACAAGACAAATAAGAGAAGGGTAGCCAAGGTAACAGAGGACCAAAGAGAGATGAGGGCGAGAAAACATATTTAAGTTTGACACATGGAAAAAAGATCAAAGTACAGGATGAAAATGGGGATATGAATCAGCAAGATTTAGCAGAATAAGATATGGAGAACATGAACAGCAGGGTGGTATGAATGAGAGAAAAACAGAGAATAATTGTCACTAGAGCTTAGTATACCACTCAGTCACTGCAATATTGTTAATGTGCACCCTTTATGAATGATTTGCTGTGTGTAGACACGCACTGCCCAAGTATATATGTTCATGGATAAACCAGTTAGATGCCATCACCTCAAGTAGTGCTACCTTAACAAAAAATGAACCCCAGCAGTTTGCCTTTCTGAAGATGCAGAAGGGGTTCTGACTGCAGGTATCAGGTCTGGAAATGATTACTTTTATTCTGTTTCTCTGAAACGTTTCTGACCAATGAGCCCTTTGGTTTGGTTCTTGGACATCCCACTGGGATAATAAGATATGCCATCAACCATTTGCAACTTTAATTTCTGAAAAAAAGTCCTTTTTCTTAAAATGTTATCCCTGTGACCACTGCAATCCAATACCAATTTTGCTTCTTCAGAAACTGTGCTTAACAGAGCTACATGTAAATTCAATTCCATCTTTATACCTTTTTTGTCTGTTTGCGTATGAGGCCTATACACTAGGAAACACAAGTGATAATAGAGTGACATTAATGAGAGAATAATTAAACGGTGAGCTTTTCTGATTGAAAGTTCATACTAAATGCAGCTACAAAGTATAATGACACTTTTTAAAAATTGATAGGTGAGCTGTGCTAATGTGAAGAGAAAGATTTCAATATTTCTTAACAGATAACTCAGTACTAATTGCTAAATTCTCATTTTCAAATTTTAGTACTATGACAGATGATTGAAAGTCACAAATGCCATGTTTTGAAATGACTGAACTTTGTGAATTTGG